ACTTCGTTGGGGCTATTTGATAAAGGGGCAAGCCTCATTGCCCCTAACAGTGGGGATATATTTTCATTACTGGCCATGGGAAGCCTGGATTATGTTGGGGATAAAAGCAGTCCACCCCTCAGGATCCCCTTGAGGGGTAAGGGCTAGATAACTAAATCAGGGGAATACCGTGCCCATGGCTCCCTCAGGCCGTTCAGGACTGGCACAAAGTCAGCCTTTCATCCTTTCAGCACGGCTCTCACACCTTAGGAGGTGGATAGCAGAAGGGTTTGGTGAAGGGACAGAAACAAAAGTGGGAAGGGAAAAAAAGACCATGCATAATTAGTTGAGTCGAGGGCTGAGTCCCAAGGTTGGGGAGTTCCCCATCATTGGGTCCCAGTCTCCGCCTCCTAAGCCCCCCCACGACAACAACGGGCAAGGGATTGGGGGGGACAGAGATTGGTTTGGGTCTCATAATTTTTTTTTCCCCATTTGCCTTCCCTAACCACTTCAGTCTGGGATAATGTCCTATCATCATGTGTTTGACCAACCCTCACACTAGAGACATCCAGTCATGTCATGTGATCAATCCTGCTGTATGTTGTGCACGTTAAAAAGTAATTTGTTTGCTGTGATCACTGAGGAGAAACATCCCCTCAAAGGTTGTGAGTCGGTTAACCCATTCGCCACACATGGCAAGAATAGATACCATACCCACTTTGATACACATTTATTTATTGTATTTACACATAGTTGGCTCCACAAGTTCTTAATCACCAAATAGCCAGTTATCAAGAACTACCTATTTCACCTGTTTACCCTTTTCCTTCACTTTAGGAAAATATTCTAATGACAATTTAATAATCATAACATCAATAACAATAATAACAGTATCGATAGCAATGGTATTAATTTTCCCGCCAATTCAATGGATGGGAAAATCACGGTTGGTAACTAGGGTCTACTGATAGACTCCTTGCCGGCTGAGTACATGTAGAGCCATCTGTATGTAACAAAATTCACCAAAAACTGCAGGGGACAGAACATAAATGCGGGGCGAATGGGTTAACCCATGCATGTTATGTGCTCTGTGATTTTTGTTCATTAATTTTGCATACACATAGCTGGCTCCACAAGAGTTTAGTCACCACGGACTCTGTTACTAGTCCTTCCTGATCTCACCTGTTTAACATTTTCCCTGATTTTTGGATTTTTACTTTTTATTTCTTGGTGCTATTAGTATTGATAATATAATAATCCAAATGTCAACAATAATAATAAAGATGATGTTAATCGCTTTAAAAAAATAATAAGAAAATTCATGGAATGAGGTTATCAGGTGAAAAACAGTTTTCTGGGTGTTTTTGCAGCCATCTAATAGCCACAAATCTAATAGAGTGGTATTGTAGATGGGTATGCATCTACCACTTATCTGGTGTCTTATATCTTTGGGGAGTGATTGTAGTGGGTGTGAGCTCCTACTGTTATGGTTGGGTGCTGTTGGTGCAGTGGAGTTGTATGGGGGAGCCAAAGACGAGAAAATATTTCACGTCATCTTATTTTGCTGTCACTAATGTTTATAACATTATTTTAATTATAATGTTATAATAAAAATAACCATCAATATTCATAGCACTAGTAAAAAATACATTTTCCTGCCAATTCAAGTAAAGGTGAGCCATCTATGTGTAGACATTTCACAAAAAATATAAAAAATAAGCACAGCATTTTCCCCAATTTTTGTTCATTTTTACCTGTCATGAGTGGGTTAATCATATCTATTATAAGCTAAAAAGTCCTATTTAACAGTGTATTAATAATGACTTCAAAATCACTGTTCAGGCTAGCATTAACTTCTGGTATTCTTCCTGATAGTAAAAAATATATTAAATATATTTTCTTTTAAGAAAGGAATGAAATAAATGCAGGCATACAAAAGAATATTTATTCATATATATCTGACAAGTTGTACATTCTTTCTCTGCTTGAATCTGATTTTAAAGAAAACCATTAGCACACAAGAAAAAAGAAAGAAAAAAAAAACTTGTCTGTTCATCAAAAGCATTTCTGGATTTGCCACAACACTAAACCTTTTCTCTTGGAAGCTCAAAATCTTGTGAAGATAAGGGATAAATATCACTTTCAGTCAACCTAGTCTACCTGGGCGGTATATTTGAAAATTAGGTGCAAGATGTGAGGGTTACATTTTCTGCTGATTAAAAAATTATAAAATAAAATAAAATAAAATAAAAAAATAAATACAGCCATTCGGGTTACTTTTATTTCCTTTTCCCTCATATTATGACACGGTTTCAAGTAACACCTTGATAAATGCATGTAAATTTTTAAAATAATTGCATTTTAAAAAAGGATTCAAACCAAGCTGGATTTAATAAAGTTGAATACTGTTGTTTGGTATAAGGACATATCCACATGGTTGGCAAACCCAGAGGGTAAGAATAGCAATGCCTATCAGACATCTTTGGAAAACAAACCAGTAGAATACCCATGCCTTAAGGTAGACCAAAATCACCAGATAATGGCCTTACTACACTTATCCACCTACTGGTAATACTGGATATTGCCAGTCATGTGTGGCCACTCATAGACTTGTTCATGTGGGCAAGTCACAGACATGCCCAACAAAATTTGTCTGATGAAGGCATTGCCCAATCATGTGGAAACATCTTATATTATTTTAAAGAATGTGTGGACTGTATTATGATAAAGAAATGAACTTCTGAATGTTACAAGCTGTTTTGTTTCAATATGTTGTTCTAAAAGGTATTTTAATTTGTAAAATATACTACTGAAAATTATAATCCTTATGAAAACCTTTAGTGAAATATCAATTAATCACAATGTAAAGATGTACCTAAATTCAAATGTATGGATTTACAAGTACATCACACTAAACTTGAATTGGAATCACTGCAACCATTATAAATCATGCAAGATCAAATATATAAATAATGCATGACCTTAACACCATTTGTACAGTCAACTATGAAGAAACATACAATATATAGTACACAAATATTGAAGGAATATGTGACTTTAGTCACTGATCTATTGTATTCAGTCCTTGTAGTAAAACACACACTTTACAGAAATAATTACTTATTTTTATGACAGCAACCACACTGATTTTATACTGGACACACTTAAAAAGTAATGTAAATATGCATTTGGCAGCTTCCCACTTCATAGAAAACTACTGAAAATATCCTTACTTGGAATGATGGCTGTATTTTATTATACTCAAAATATATTTCATTAATTGTAACTTAAACCAAACTATCAAATCCCTAATGGCTCTAGAAGTATCACTGCCTTGACTACTTGCAAATGGCCTGGAAGATGCAAGTGTCATAATCAAGAGTAACATGTAAAGCCTGTTATCATCCATCAGCTTGCATTACAACAATTGCAGAGGCAAATTTATCCACAGAAAAGCTATGTACACTGAACACACATAACCACAATAATGGACATACATTTCATTTTTCTAATGAATTGGATAATTGGACTCACATTCCTGAAACATTCACATAAAAACACATGAAAGTATGAACAACTGCATGACGGTTAAAAAAAGAAAAAAAAAAGAAAAAAAAATATACAGACAAATACCACTGAAAAGAATTGAAAGAAGGATTAAGTGAGGAGAGAAACAGAATGAGGAAAGGAAATAATTTGACAGAGGCAAGCACAGCACATATTTGCAATCTTGCCTTAAAAAAAAAAAAAAAAAAAAAAAAAAAAAAAAAAAAAAAACATTATAAATCCAGTTCTCTCACACAGAATATGAATACCTTGGTTAATATATGTATACAATATCTCATGTGTAATTTAACCTAGATAGCAGATATAGGCACAACATCAACCTCTCATTGCATATCTAATATGCAGCATTAAAGTATGTATGTGATCCTTTCACACATGAACATAAGACATTTTTTAAAAATTATAAAAACAATGACCAGATTATTATGGTGTCATTCTTAGAAAATCATACTTAAAACATATGATTTTCCAGCATGGGAATATTATCATGAGTAGTAAACTGCTTTACGATTCCAAACACTGCAACCTTTAGAATAGATGGAATGGGAATCAAGTAATTAAAATTTCCACCAGACTAGTTTTCCTTATCTATTCACCAGATTAAATGAGCACCATAAAATGTTTTAGAATCCTGTATTCCATCTATGCTACAAAAACCATCATGATGTAAATGCAAGGTGAACTGTGGTAAGAGTTGGTAGACTTTACAGCTCGAGATCTAACATCGCTCTCATTAGATTTTGTAATATTCATATGCCTTCCTGCTGGAACTCTTGTTGTCCACCACCTAACAGCAGTATTTCAGAATACTGTAAGGCTAAAAGATTTGTAAATATATATATATTTTAGAAATAACATTAATGAAAGTGAAGAGTTTTTTCTCTTGAAGGAAGTTTATCTTGTAAGATGCAGTGCCTGGATCTTTGATTAAACTCTATTATAAATAATATTGCATAATCAAGTTAAAAATAACAATCTTCACATCCTGTATCTTAGGATACACCAATTACTTTCTTTCACAACCATATTCATATTATTTATGATGTACTGTTACTGTTGTCTTTCAGTTGTGGAGTAACCTTGAGCATTGTTCTTTATATAAGCATGTTCATAAAGCAATGTACTACTCAATAACCAGCAACATGAAGAAAACAGTTTCTTTTTAAATAAGAAACAGTTTTCTTCATCTTTTAAAAATAAACAAATATATAAAAGGAAGAAAAATGTACAAACTTGATCCTGTAGCATTACAGTAATCTGCTTCACAATACACTACAAGCAACACTTCAATGTTATTCCTTGAACTAGTAATATATAAATACATACACACATGCATACATATACATATACATATGTATAATTATATATATTTATATATTATATATATGTATATTATATATATAATGTATATAATACATTATATATATATATACATACATTATCAAATCATTTCTATATACATGTCAAATGCATCCAGTTTGGTTACCAGGACAGTTTGACAAAAAGATCTAGCTCACATGCCAGAACTAAATCAACATGAACTCATACCAAAGTCCAGACACAAAAGCAAATCAAAGACCATCACACCCACACTCCCATCACTTTCAAACTGGCTTCAGCACCCTCAGTCCCTCACCTACAACAGCACCATGCAACCACAACACTCAAACACTACAGAATTAATACATGTGATTTTACATCCAAAGCAACTAATTGTATATGCTGAGATGCACCTATTCACAATCATATTGGAAAATAAAGAAAATAATTCACTAGTTATCTACATCTATCCCTCTAAGAGGAGGAAATATACAAGAAAATACATAAACCAATCTATATATTAATACTATGTTGTGGTCGTATTTTTTTTTACAGAAGTTGCAGCACTATACACAGCTATTTACTAAGCTCATTCACTATATCTTGAAAGAAAAGATTCTACACAGACATTCAACATTTGGTCCTCCCTCTACTTGAAGGAATGAGCTAGATACTGCTTTACACAGTACATACAGGTATGTTCTCCAGCTTCAAAGCAGGTCAAAGACAGATAAGAATATAGAAACATTCATTAGTCTCTCCTACATACATATTTTTTGTAAGTCTTTTTTATAATGTATTCTTTTTAACAGTGGATATGGAGATTACATAAGATGCACTTTAACAAGGTATAGAACATCATATACAACTTTGGTTTGCACAACAAACACGTTCTTAAATCTGATTCACTGCAATTTGTAGATTTACATGAAATATTTAACACGTATTCCAACTTCTGGAAGACCTTAATAACTTGAAATAAGGTATCATAAGTCTTGAATTTTATGAAAGAAAATACAGAATTTATGGCTCCACATGGTAATGGATTTTTATGATACCTCTAATACTTGTCAAAATAAACAAGGAAACTTTATGAGCTAAATGCCATTTTCAAAATATTTCTGAATATATGAAAAAATGAACTGTTAAGTCACTGCTATTAAAGAACAGAAAAAGAGTCTACAACCAACTTTCAATAAAGTGGCTGAAGTTTCACACTTTTTCTAAGTCTGAGGCTCTGTATATATTGGGTGATGATGTCTTATTGGGCATTAATAAGGCAGTCACTAATAACTATGTCTAGAGCATTAATGTGTGCACAGCCAGCTGCTTCATTACACAGAAGTTCAATGTCACTTGCAGTTCGACGCCATTTCACATATGGCATCAATGCATCTACAAATATCTCATACAGTGTCGATGATTAGTCTAGTCATCACATTTGGCGGAGCTTAGCATCCTTCATCAATGTACATCTGTCCATGCTGGGTTTGCTTATCCATTCCTCTTCACGTTCCTCAGATTCACAGAATCACTAGAGTCCCTCTCTCTCTCACGCCACATCACGACCAAATCGTACATCACAGCATATTTTGGTTCTAGGACCACCAAGGCAAATTGTTATCTTTGGCTGATGTTTTTCTCCTTTGGCTTCCCCTGATCCTTTCCCTTGTCCTTTGCTTCCATGCGCAGAGGTTTTAAATCAGGCGGTTTGAATTTTCTGTTGGAAAAATAAAATATATGAAATAAATCATTAAAGCCGAACACCATCTTAAATACTAATATTTGGTAAAAGTCTAATGCACTGACTTCTGTCATTTCTATTATGATTAATCAATCTCTCAGTTACCAAAGCTCGTGTACTTGAACATGAAATAAAATCCAGAAATAAAGAAACATTTAAAAATAATCAGCAAATGTAAAAAAATGATAAATCTTGAACACCGAGCTTTTAATTTACCAGAAAACAGCTGCCATAACTTACGAATACTGGGAGAAAGGCACGCCAATAATCAGCAGGGGGTTGGATTTCATATTAAGCCTCCACATGCCATGGTGATATCCCCTGCTGTCAAGATCCCAAATTCGAAGACACTGAAAGTAAAGCAGTTATGAAGACCTTGTATGTTCCCTTCACAGAGCTTATTTTGTGTAGTAAAATAAAATGGACTTGGGTTGGCCTGCATTGGGCAAATAGGATATTTTTGTGGGAAAATACTTCCAAGTGATAAACAGGATTCAAAGGGACTCTGTGATGATGACCTTGTAAGTCTCTCTCACTGAATGAACAGAGAGAAAAGAACATGGCTATGAGGCAAAAAAAAAATTCCGCCACCAAAAGAAAAGAAAAAGAAAACAGATGAGTGATACTGATAATGACCATGAATAGAAAATGATGATGGTGATGGTGAAGAAGAAGAAGAAAAAGACAAAGACAAGAAAACGACAACGAAAAGCAACAAGACCAAGAAAAAACAAGGACAAGAACGCAAACCCTTACTCATCCAGCGAGACTCACCTTGGCGACCTGCAACCAAGTGGAATAGTCTTTGTGGTGCTCCATGTGGATGAACAGCAGGTAGGTGTGGCCTGTGGTGTCTGGAATGAAGGTATCCTCGCAAGGACTTCGGGAATGATCTAGGACTGTTCCCCGGCGCAACATCCCTGTGATCAATTCTTCGTAGGCATCTTTCTTCAAGCTGTGAGGTTACGGAAGAAAAACTCTTAGTAAGGACTGAGAACTTTGGCAAAGCTACTGTCGCTGGTTTATATATCAAACTAACTTACTCTAATCTCAGAATGGTATTAAATGCAAAAATCATACCAATTGAAATCTATGATACTATATACAGAAAACGAAAACTACATAAAAAAATAGAAACAAGCAAGAAATAACAATCACACAAACAACCCAAGCACCCACGTGTCGAGATCGCGCAGTTCGACGTAGGGCAGAGTGTTGAACGAGTGTTTCTTGAAATAAGTGTCCTGGAAGTACGAATTCATGTTGAGGCCCGAGGAACCGAAGTGGTAGGTCCGAGACACGTCCGGGACGATGCACTCGCGCCCACGCCGGACCTCCCCGAGACGCATCCACATGTCCCAGTCCCACATCTGAAACGAGGAGGGGGGGGGGGTGAGTTTATTGGTTTATTTTGGCGTGTCTGTTCCTCTAGCGATCTGCCTTATCACTCCGAGAGGGATTTATTTCTATACTCCATACTA